GACATGTGTCTGACTTTCATTCTGTTTAGCCAAGTGTGTGTGATGGCTGGCCATGAAGGGCATTCGGTAAACATTTAGTTGGGATTTATTGAAATGGTTAAAATTCATGCATCAATGAATTCACAGATTTTTCATTCATTGTTGATAGCAGGTTCTACTCTTGTTTTCTCTGCTGTCCAGTGTAGGCAATTCCCGACACTGCTCAATTCATTTCACAAAATTGGCCCTTTAAAAACCTCCCCCAAATCTACACCACAAATGCATTCTCTCCATCTGTTAATGTTAATTATAAAGCCAAAGCACGTTTTTTTTAAAAAAAGTGATTTTTTTTTACAGTAAAAGATTTACACATACATGCAACATTAATATGGCCAAAGTTTAGACAGAATATTTAATGCTTGAAGCTAACTGAAAGTTACACACACAAACAACTCAATTAGATTGAGCTGACAAAGCACAAAGTAAACACAGCAATGGCAAAATATGACAAAGAAACAGTACACAGGATCAATTATATAATTTTGGTCGCATCAGCTCCCATTTTGGTTTAGTTTTTCAGTACGTCACAAATATGGTTTTCTTCTCTGCTCTGTTTCAAAAACAGTTTTTGTTCTTGTTCAACAATTGGGTTATTCGATACCTTTGATCATCTACTCTGGCGTGGTGTACACATTAAAGTTATTTGGCCACTGAAAGAATGGCACTTGGTCCAAAATTGGGTTTTTGTCCTCTCCATATCAAGAAGGTTCCACTTTACAAAGTAACAATTACTCGTGACTTGGGTGACCAGAAGTAAGGTTCCTTAATTTCAGTAGCTGTATCAGATATAACCTTCTGTTTGTCCAAGGTCGTTTCGTTATTCCTTTTACTCCCAACTGGTACTGCGTCGCTTGTGTGGACTGATCGAAATTGAAAAGTTTGATTTGGAGGGATTGGAACAAACACATTACAGTGGCCTGAAACTATGCAAGTAATTCAAGGAGCAACACTGATAAATATAGGAATGTGAGCAAGCCAGTGTTTCAAATTATAACGAAATAAACTGACTTAGTTCATTGTGACATTTTAGTGGCATCAACAAAAGTAAACAATCCAGTTTCCCGTGGTTACAGTCAACATTCAACCTGTTCAATTTTTTTACAGGCATCAAAAACCTCTAAAATTTATCCATTTGCAATGTCTTTTTTCCAGTATTTTGTTTTGCATCACTTTAAAGATCCTGCTGTCTGTTTTAATTTTTTATTTTTTGCTCTTGGATACAAAAATATTTGAAGATTTGCTGTTGGAACCCATTCCTTCAATCACGCCACAAAAATATTGCACTTTTGGATTTCAAGAAGTGTGAATTCTTTGCACTATTACACAAGAAATGGAATTGTTTGTGGGTGATCACAGCTGCTTCTGAAATACAATCTGGTCCACAGAAGTTTCAGGATTGAAACTGTCAAGGTATATTTTTTGATGTCAGGTCTCTGACTGGTCAAATCTCAGCTACGTCAAATCTCCAACTCCTCATGATCAACAGAAAAGTGAGGCAAATAAGTTTTGCTTTTCTTGTTAAGTAACAAAATAAACCGTGCTTGGCACTTAGTTATAAAATACGGAATGCTCCCCTAACAAAGAAAATTTATGACGTACGAATCATGGATGCCGGCAGGTTTTCTTGAGGGGGGGCGAATTCCAAGCACTTTTTCAGGGGAGGGGGGGACATTGGGGGAAGCATTAAGTAAGGAACGGATATTTCTGATTTTCATCCCCTTTCATCTCTTTATAAACTGCCTTTATGCCTTGCAAAAGCTTTCTAAAAAAAGAACTATTTGCATTGTCACTGGGATTCTAACCTCAATGCTGACATTAAATCTCTAGGACAAAGCAATGGGTACTAATCTGCTAATGAAACTGTACTTTCTAATACTTATGCACATGGTGACCTCTGACCTCCCCAATCAGAAAAAGGGGACCATAAATCTAAATCTTGTCTACACACAATGCCAATGGTGAGATACCATTTCAAATCCAATTTCGTTCTTTTTTTTTTTTTCTACTCGAGATGGTTAAATCTCCGGGAAAAATTGCTGCTACCAAGGATGATTTTTAACAACAGCCTAATATTTCAAGAACAGAATGTGATTATTTTTCCCCCCTGAGTGATAAGTCCCCCTCCCCTTTTTTCTCAGGATAGAAATAAACAGTTTAAAGATAACCCATCTGGTGGCAGATGGTTTGGAGGTTTTTTGGTTTAAACCTTTGCTTTTTTAAAGTTCTTTTTGAGGGTGTAAAGTGCGGACAGTAAAAGGAGTATGCATGTTTTAAAATCTGGAAATCTGGTTGGAATTGTCCTTCCCCAAACCTTCTAACCTCACCACTCTGAGTTCCAAAAATCACTTGTCACTAGGAACATAATACCATTCACCTGTATAACATTCTACTTGTGTCCATCACGTGTTCTCATGAATCTACATAATAGCTTCATGCGACGATCCCAAAAAGACTTGCTGAATATCTTCAAGTACTGTGAGACAACCACATTCGTATTTAACACCAGTCCAAAAATAAAATAAACTAGAATTAAAAGAAAGTGAAAAAAACCCAACATGGTCAAACCACTGAAATAAAAAAAATTAAAACACTTAACAATTTGATTGAAAATATACACATTTTTTCCTAATGGAAGATAAAACTTTTTATCATTTTGGCAATAAGTGGAGCAGGCAAGAATATCTTAAAAGGGAAGAAATCAAAATATTCACACAGCATTCCGCAAAATAATCAACTGAATTAGATCCTCAGTTTCACCACCAAGGGATGTATAGGATACTTTTGAAGCACCATGAAGTAACATACTGTCCATTGACTTTGTACACACGATACATCAGTTGAATTTGTGGTGCGGTAAAACTACCCACAATATGTCACTCCATGGTCAAACCGACGAATTGCTTGGAATAACCCCTTTGAGGTTTTCCAACTGAATTTGTCCCAACGAGCCACACCGACTTCCAAGTTGTCTGCAATGCCCAAGTTCAAAATTATTATTTGAATTCACCTTATGCATTCCCCAGTTTTCCCGATTGAAACGGAAGATTCCAAAATGTTTACATACTGTGCAGCAACTTTGAGCAGCCACATTCATCAAACAGCAGTGGGCTGCCAGTAAACTCCAATTCAACACAAGAACCTGGACTGGATCGACAGCTCGTTCTCAACATGTTTGGTAGTTAACACATGGAAGCTTTTGAAAAATTGAGTGAGACTGAAAATTCTCTATCAAACATTGAAAAGAGAAATTGGATTTCAAGAATATTTGTTTCCCCACTTCCTACCCCCCCCCAAAGCATTAAACCCCACAACAAGCAAAACAATTTCACTTGAAATATACTTTGCCGGAATCTTGTGATATTTGGAATTGTTTCTGCCATTTGCTTTTCAGGCCTCTAACTGGAGACATGTTTGTAACGTCAAAACAACGACCAAGAGCTAGTGTTGTAGTCGAGACCAGGGAGTCTGAGACCAAGACCGAGACCGAGACCTGACCATCCGAGACTGAGACCTCAAGACCTTGTGTTTAAATTGCATAATTCAAATAAATGCAGCACCTAAACAGAATGAATATAACAGCACAATGGTTATCACCTCCAGTTCAAAGGAAGCATTTTATGTAAAAATTTGTTGACATTTTATTTAAAAAATGCTTTTTTTTCTTCTAATTTGTGGATGTGACTCAAGTACCTGGTGCATGCAGAGCCAGTCACCCATCTTTCCAAAATCCGTGTCGTGCTACCAGGGGGACAGACGTTGCATACTGCAGAGTGTTTTTATTCCCTGCTTTTGTACTGAAATACATTTGGTGGTCTCTAACACCAAATCTGATCACAGCTCAATTGCTTGACATCTTGAAAGAAAGGTGTGTGCAAAGTGTAACCTTCGAATTGGAAAAATGTGCTGGTCGCATACCTGGCCAGCCCAAGCACACGCCGTGTGCATGCATCAGTTGATCAATGTACTATTCATCATGTAGTTTGTGCCACAATATTCACACTTGCCCCCAGTGCTTATTACAATGATCGTACAGTCATACTTTGCACATGCACACTGGTAAATCCGAGGTTGAAAGCATAAAGTACATATCGCTAGCTTTGCTTTCCTAATGTTAATGCAAGGGCATTGAATTCGATTCCATTTGAGATCATCGCAACCACTTTGATCAGCAACAAATTCGTGAATTACCTGGTGCATAATATGGTGTCCATCTTTGTTTTTGACTGGTCTCGACTTGAGACCAGGTAAAGTATGGAGACCTTTAATATCATATCCGAGACTGAGAACAAGACCGAGACCACTAGGTATCAAGACTGAAATTGAGAACGAGACTGCCAAAAACCAGTCTCAAGACCGGTCTCGAGACCAGCAACACTACCAAGAGTACATTTAACGTGGCCTGCAAAATGCAGAGCCAGAAAAGGTTATTATGTCTTTCAAGAGAGACAGAGAGCAAGGCAGGAGACATCATTTTCATTCAATATTTGGCTAGTTTCTTACTACTGCTAATCTCTCTTTGTATTCTAGTAAAAAATACCTATGTTGGAACCACTGTATGCAACAACAAATTGGACTATACATAATTCACTTTCTTTCAAGACTGACACAAAACTGTCTGCTTATTTTCTGCCATTTTTGAAGTAGCGCTGAACCAACTCCATCTTTCGGTTCTCTTTTGATGTGAACAACGACGTCACACAGGCGTAACCAAAGTCAAGAAAATGCCCAACCAAGGACCAAAGCAGAAACATGTTCCTGGTAGTGGTCACGAAAAAATGCCCCTTGTATTCTGGAGCTAAGGTATTCTGGGGTCAAATTGGTGCCATGCTGATTTCACCACACTTCACCTCTGTGACCCCCAGTTCCAATCCAATCATTGCCAACATGAGGATTAAGCTTTGCCAGTCCCTGAATGATTCCACAAATATCCCGGAGTATCATTCTAGGACTTTCTTGTAAAGAAAAAAAATTGATTTGTTTCCTATTGTAACTTCCTCAGGATTTCAAACAGCGCTTATGCACTTTTTAGGAATAAGAAATGACTGTAATAACTTTACAGCTTGAGTGTGTTGCCAAAAGATGATTGCTGCTAGGGCATGCTGATAAATCAGGGGCACCATGTCAAAGAATGTTTCTGAACTGTAGAAGAAAAAGATACCATTACATCAGAGTTTTGTGACAAGCAATTAATGATTGGTTGAATGCTATGCACTGTTAGGCAGTGTGATCGAATGTCATAGGTTGGTACACCAGCACCTTTCTTTGTGTTTTCCCATGACAAAGATAGCTACAAAGTGTTACATGAAAGCCAAACAGATGGGTTTGGTTACCTTTTCCCCTCTCATTCTTGATTATGAAAAGCTGACTAGCTTTCCTTACAAATTCCCAACTCTAACCTTACGAATACCATCACTGTGTCTTTGCTAACACTCCTTCAAGGGACTCTATTCCTTACAAGTTGTGACTGTGCACTCTTATAAAAGAGGGAGAAATAGCTATCTTGTCACCCAGAAAAGTAGGTAACATCAAACTTTTGCATTGGAAGCCTTGGTTGCTTCATCAAGGCAGCCTCTGTCGTGGATGACTTGAAGACTTGTTTCGGGTGCCGTGGCATATCCCATCTTGGCAGCATGGTAGTATGGGTGGGTAGTTCCTCCTGTGGTCATGTTGCCATGCAGGATGGACATGTTGGCATAGCTACCGACATTGTTATAGGACAGATCCATGGGCATGTCGTGAGCACTGCGGAAGTTCTTGTAGTGGTCTGTGTAGGGGTTGCTTTGGTATCCATGGTGGGCGGCCAGGTTGACTGGACTTGGATACTGTTGGAAGTTGGAATATTGTCCGTAGCTGGCGTAAGGCATGCCTGCGTAAGCAGACGACACGGCAGTGATGACCCTGGGGTGGGTGTTGTACAGGTGCTCGGTCTTGCCGCTGGCCGAGTTGGGCGAATCCACGTCAGTGGGGGGATTGGTGATGGGTTGTGATTTGGACAAGACCCCATGGCTCGGCTGGGGGCTGACCAGCTCCACGTCCGGGCTGACCACGGACTGGTTGGAGAAACCCTTGCTGACCGGCAAAGGGTGGTGGTTGTTGTTGCTGCTGCTTCTGCTGGTCAGCATGGCAGGAACAGAGTCCGTGGAGTAGTGTTTGGTCTTGGTGTCGCTCAGGGAGCTGACCGGCGGAAGCACAAATTGGGATTGACAGCTGTCTGAGAGGGGTGGAGTCAGCATACTGTCTGGGGGTTTGGGACTACACCCTGAGCCTCCTTTACAGCAGGACCTCTTAGGGATGATGATACTGTCCTCTGTTCCTACTTGCCTCCCGCTGCCCACTCCTACCTCCTGGTAACCCCTGGAGACTTCTGGGTCACGAGGGACTTCCCTGTTGGGTGGGTTGTCCCAACCTTCCTTGACACGGCTGCTGGCGCTCTGACTTCCATTACTGAAGGAGTCCGAGTCCCGACCGTTGCTGCTTACAGAATGATTGATGGGCGAGATGTAGCCGGGTGAGGGCTCGTCCTCGATGGGTTCACATCCTGGACAGCCGACATCACTGTTGGTGGTTTTCATCGGAGGGACTGTCTCCTTCTCCTCCTGTGACTGCCTCAGGTGCTGGTCCTCTAACACCTTCTTTGGTTTTCTAGCATGGCCATGCATCTGCTGGGCTTTGACCTCCTGACTTTTTCCCTCGGCGCTGCCGTCGACAATGACCGTCTTGGATTCCACAGTGGGTTCCTCTCCAACGGGGAGTTTGTCCGGCATCTCTATGGGGCTGGCCTGCCTGTGCCTCTTGGTGTCCTTGTGGTCTGTGTGGGTCTTTCTCTTCCTCATCCGAGATGGGGACTTGCCTCGGCTGGTCGAAGACTCCTGAGTGGCCTTCTTTGAATACTTCAAAGTCTTCTCAGTCTTCACAGATTTTCCCTTGGTGTCATCTTGAACAAATACAACAAAAATGAGACAAACATTCTTCCCTCTAGCAGTACATAACATTTGCGTGATTTGTGTATGCGCTCAATGAGACAGGTTGGTGTTATGCTATATTACATTTAATGATAGGACTGTATTGCATTTACAGATGTTAAACATATTTCAGCTCAAGGAAATATTTCATGACGTCAAACTGGCTCCGCTTCTCATTCGCCTGAAGTACAAACCAGTAAGTTCATGTTTGTATCTGCATTTGCAATGAGTAACAACTGCCTATACATACTTCAACATACGCTTGTGGAGATTTCCATCAACATATGTTGCTCCACTACTGAAGGCAGATTTTTTGACTGTACACATCAGCATATATGAGGTACCGCAACATGGCATTATTTTCACAACTATTCCTGACTGGATTTATTTTTCGCACTTTTTTGTGCATGATATTGGTTAGGATAGAAATACCGTCATGTTTTGGCAGAGTCACACAGTTAAGTAAAAATGGAACTCTCCAGATGAATCAACATCCCTGTTAAGTTATAGTTACGAAACACTAGCTGGCCAAATAAAGGCATGAAAAATTGCCACAAAGAGATGACAGTTTTACACAAACCTGGAATATTGTGTTGGAACTATTCCAAATCATGCTGCCATAGTGTGTGGCTTTTTAAAAAACTTCAATGAGAACATGACTCAAGTTACCGACCAGCTGGGGCCAATTTCATAGAGCTGCTTAAGCACAAAGTTTGCTTAAGCATGAAAAAACCTTGCTTGACAAATCAGGTTACCAGTCAAAACTCCATGTGATGAATATTGTTTTGGAGTGGTATTCACCTGCCTTTTGGTTAGCATGACAATCACATAGATTTTGAGCTGGTAACCTTTTTTTTAAGCAAGGTTTTTTGTGCTTAAGCAAATTTTGTGCTTCAGCAGTTCTATGAAATTGGCCCGGGCTCAGTGCTCAGATCAGATCTCACCTGGGCTGGTATTGCCCATGTCAGACTCGTGACCGGAACCATCCGATGTCTCCCCTTTGAGGGTGTCTGGGGGCAGAGAGCTCATCTGGCTGACATCCATGATGGTATCTGTAGCCTCTGCATTGCTGGCATATGAGACAAGGAAACAGAGCGTCAATCATGGCGAATCACAACCTCAAGTCAACAGTGAATCAGCCAACACAAAGCCTGTTTCTTGCTAGAGCCTTACATTCCATTACCACACTTCCCAGAAACAATTTGATCATTAAATGTATGGCATGGTGAACACCAAACGATACTTTTGGCACTTTGTTACACACTTAAAGTTGAAACGCAATATCCCATGTAAATCAATATTGTGTAATCCATATAAATCAGGCTAAAATTTTGGAGGTTTACATCAACAGTGATGTAGTAAACATTCCAAGTCTTTTTCCATTCAACTTGGACCTGTAAATAGCATCTCTCTATGTAAATATTTTTCTGAACTCTTGGAAAAGGTCTCAGATTCATATGGTACATGTATACACCATCCCTCACGTATACAAACAGGGCACCGTCAACATGACAGATGGCAGATGGAATACCCAAACACAAGGAGACAAGCACACATACTATCATGTATGACTGAAGTCCAGACAGGCTAGCTTAATAGACAGAAAGTAAAGGGTGAGCGTTAACAAGGACCTGAATTAGTACTACCTAATGACTTGGTTGATGAACATGAACGACCTGTCATTGGACGTCCTGGCATAGGCCAGTGTAGCTGTGGATTGCACCCAGACATAGCCGCCCGACTTGCACATCCATCGGAAGTAGTGGCTGATCATCTGACCTTTACTCAACACTGAAAGGGAGGACCAACTTTTCATCAATGGTACATTATCATTCAACTGGATGTCCAACATCCTCTCTTGGCCTCCCCAAAAGCTGAAAACTGCAACAAAGGTGGCATTTCCATTGGGAGCCGGAGAATGACATTGCAAACGTTGAAATTAACTCCATTAACAGTTACATCACCGCCACCCCAACAGTCCCAACCTGAAAAAAAGATCTTCGGCTTTGTTTTTCTCTTGCAGTTTTTTTACAGCAATTGGCAGAGGTACTTAAGTCAATACATACAAAAGCCCCCAAAACCTGCAGTATGACACAAGACCTGGAATATTTAACAATAATTTTGCTGGATTAATCATGCAAAGAGCAATCTCATTTGTGGAGGACTTTTTGATTAGGAAGTCTTAAAAATTGGAAATGTAAACTTGTGATCATAACAGCCAGAGGACAAGGGGGGGCGGTTACATGTAGGTATACTCCCACAACTGCTTTCAGACTGCTAAATGACAACATAGAGGATTTTCACTCATGTGATTTTTGTCTCTCAATGTTCTGGTGTACTTAACATTGCCAACAGAAATGCATGTGCCCAGATTTGCAAATGCACGCACCTCCATGGACATGGTACGCTTCCTGAAATGCCTTTGCTCATCATGTTAAGTCATGTGAAAAACCTCTATCCGGTTCGTTTGTGACTTCGTCACAAAGGAAGATGCGCCACGATTTACAGGCTCCCACTGGACGATCGCTGGAGTTGCGCATTAACTTCCAGTTCCATGGTTCCATGTAAACGGCGATCAATGCATGTAACCCCATGTGCAGTGCACCTGTGCAGTGGGCGTGGCTTAAACTGAAGTGACGTCACACTTACGAACCGGATACTCCCAATTTTGAGGGAATTAACGACATGTACATAACTCACAGTCACAGTGGCAATTTCTCATGCTGGCTGTATCCTCGGCATGTAGGAAGGAATACAAACTCTTGTCGGTCACATCTTCAGCTGTAAGGTCAATGAACTCTTGAATTCTGCAATCAAACAAGTCACACTTTATTCTCAGTGAGCTTCGGTAGCTGTGAAAAAAAAATCACAAGCTGGCATGGATGGGATTCGAACCCAAGACTTGCTCCTCACTAGTACAGGAAAAAACCTACTACAAAATTTAAATCCCCAACGTAAAGCCAAATTAATAACATGGTCATTCATACATATATATATATGGACATATACATCTGCTCTACGTGCTCTGCAAAACTAATTCTGGTTTGTAAAACTGTTTTTTTTTAATTAACCATAAAAAAGAATTTGGTATTTTGGTAATTTGTTGCATTGTTTGGCAACTTTAGAGCCGTCAGATTTCCATGTTTTATTGGAAATAATGAATTTCCTCAGATAATAAATCTACCGCTTGGGCCAAACCAGGAAAAATACCAGAAATTACATTACATTTACAAAGCAATCTTTTAATTTCTTTCACATTCTTGGCATTTGAACTGACAATATCAAACAACCAAACACAACCAAAGCTCAAGGGCATGTTGGTTTCAATTAGACTCATATCGGGATCAGTGATCCGACATTGGTTCACTGACACCAGCACCTGTCTGATGGATAGAGCGAACCACCTTTGGGATCACTGATCGCAATCCAGATCCGCATGAAACAAACAGGCCCCAAATTGAACCTTGCTTGATTTTCTTTTTTATTTCTTAACAGAAACAGTGACACTAGACTCACTGTTCCTGAGAGGGTCACAGTTTATTACAACCATCACCTGAATAAACTAATAAAGAAAAATAGAAAAGACTAAAGTGTGATGACAAGTTTTGAAAAGAAGGGTAATTCCCCTCCCCTCAGCAATGTACCCCCCAGCACCTCCCACCTCTGCTACATCCAATCCACTTACTTGGCTTCACAGAAGACAATGGTAAGGTCAAGGTCTAGCTTGCATACAAACATGGTGGGCTCTAGGTGGATTTCGTTGACAGTTGGTGGGGGTAAGGACTGGGCCACACCAGTAAATCCCATGATGACCGGGGCGTGGCGGGAATACTGGGTCAGCACCATGCGAGGACGCATGGATCCTGTGATGTGGATCACCTTGGCAACAAAGACAAGATTGACGTGCTTCAATGGCAGGACAATATTGGCACAAAAGTTCAATTTCACAACATGGGTACATGACACCATGCCCAGGATTTTCACAACACATTTGTCACTCAACGACACCAAAAAAAATGAATCCATATTCAATTTAAACAACTTGGCAGGTGCGGACAATAGCACAGCATTAAAGCACACTGTTTCTACAGTGTCTCACAGAACTCTCTCCACCTTTTGAAAATACCGTCATCTATTGGGTTTTTCCCCAAAAAGTTGAGTAGTGACACTCGCGTTTTTTCCATCTGTAAACCAGAACTTCACATCCTCAACAACAAAACTTTGAATATTTGATAAATAAACTCTGCCACTATTCAGTCACTATCCACGCTGAGTTGAAGTACACCCTCACTGGCAAAGGAGAAACAGGCTGGTGGTAAGTTTTTCATGAGCCTGGCACACATGTGAAGACCATACATTCCTACATAAACACATGTATGTTACACGTATGGTACTTAGTGCACCCCGTACCAAACCGGCATAAACCTGTATAAGCCTATACAGTGAGTTCCCACAAAAAGACTGTCATTTCCATGTGAAAACACGCCCTCTCTTGTTCCCGCTCGGTTCGGATGATGACTATTAAGGTTAGATCAGTATCTATTGAGCAAGGTGAACACTTGCACATAGCTCAACTTTGATGAAACTGATTTGGAACAGTAAATGAGGAATAGGTTCAGTATCCACAGTGGCTTTTGCTGTTTGTGATATCAGCTGAGGTAAACGCATGGGACTCAGTCTATCAACAAGAAACTGTAATTTTGGATTCAAAAATAGTTAGGCAATGATTGTTGAGTTTTTGAAGCATCTCTTTGTGTTGTTGAAAAGTAGATGTATATAAAGAGACTCATCTAAGAGTGCCACTTTTCAAAGGATGTTTAAGTTGGAAAAAAATGCTCTAGAAGACTCATTTCCCTCCCTGTAGACACTCATCATAATGTGGCATTTTCAGAAGACATACTTCTGAAGCACCATGCATGTAGAGGTGAGATGGATTACCACGACAGGCTATGCACTTTGGGCTGGTCATCATTGGACTAGAGACGACAAATGCTAACTGTGAACTTTGCTGTCAAATGCCTTTTCGGCTTAGCAGATTGTCATTCCGTGCAAACTTACACTGAAATCAACACTCCCCATCTTGTTAAATTAACATTTACACATTATTTTGCCAGAACATTAGTCCTTAAACACACACCCATTTCACGTCTTTCCTGAATTCGGAGCAACTTTCCTACCCACCTGAGAGACTCTGTTATCTTAGATTTACTTAGGGTCTTAACAGGTAATCTTACAGCCAATTTTTGTAATTATTGAAACTTATAATTGATGAATTGATGATTACCCTGATTCATGTGCATACAATTAGTCAAGACAAATGAGTTTTTTAAAACATATTTCTTTATATAAATATTTATATATATATTTCAACTTTTTAAAAATATTTCCTTATACTGAAATGTATTTTGAAGAGCCATTTAGTTTGAAGGAACAGGCCTTTGGGTCACAGAGTTTTTGCAACTTGTTTATCTCTTCATTTGTTTATCTGCCCTCCCCATTGTTATTATTATTATATTGGTTTATTTCTATCCATTTTTGCAGTTAAAAACTGAATTGCAATGGATGTAACATTAAAGAAATAATTTTAACACCAAATATTAGAATTATTTGACAACAATCACCATTACAGTTTATACATAAAAAGAAGAACGTTGAAACATAACCAATAACCATAACAAAAAGGATAATGATATTTGATGATGTCTGTTTGCCAAAGAATCTAAAGTGAAACACTCTTTCAAGCCCAGTCATCTGGTGCTGGGTAAGTGTCCCGTTCCACACAGGAGCTGCATACTTCATCAGTGGCCTGATGAAGCTTTTATAGAGGATAGAGTTTGTCTTGCTTTAGACTGTTACAATCTTATCACTATCTCTTGGATACTTTATTTAATATTTCAATTTTCGTTTAATTTTTAAATATACTACTATTTATTTTAAAGCCATTTAGTTTGGAGAAACAGGCCTTTAGGGTCACAGTCTTTTAGTACACTTTTGTTTGTTCTGGCTAACTTGGATGGCTTTTGTTTATCTCCTTCTTTGTTTTGCTCTCCACCATTTGTGACATTTTTATGTTCTGTGTGGTTTTGTTTAACAACATTCAGGCTGAATAAATAGTAACAATGATAAATGGAACAAGGATGCTCAATTTCTCGCAGCCCTTGCTCAACTTCCAATTGTCCGCAAGCCAATAAGGGTTCTCTTCGTTTTTCTCAAAAACAATGCTTTACAAATGTGAAAGAGAAAAGAATCCAGCCGTGAGCCCTGCCATTTTGCTGGCACTTTTCTTGTTCAATGATGGTTGACCTAGATGGCAACACATTTGATTAAGTAATTGAGTGAGAGGACCACAACTATACACTGCTATCTGCTGCCCTCTAGTAACAAGTCTGCCAACTGTCTTCCTGTGTTCTCTCATCATCATTCGTCATCACTCATCAGGTCCCACCTTCTCCGGTGTCCTCAATCACGCTGACATCTGTAACAGTTAAAAGCCTAATCCCAACAGACAAGGGACAACGTGGCTCTACAATGTCGCCCTCTGTATGAAAGTGATAGCTGCAGAATCTAGCGATCTCGGGAAAACATTTCTTGGGCAGATCATGATTTGGACATCTGTTTGCAATTACTTGTCCGGGAGAAGCCCGATTTCATTTCTGTATCTAGCAGTCATTCCTGCCAGCAAGAAACTCTCTAGCGGATGAAGATGGTTTTGCTGATCAATCTGGGACTAAATTTTTAGTTGAAGTAGATTGATGAGACTCTCAGGTATAGAAATGTTACAACTGTAGAGTTGTGGAATTATGTTTCTGTACTTTGCACTGTCGCATCTAACACACAGCTTCATCCTCCTAACCCACATAGTTCCAAATCTTATCTTTGCATGCTTAGCATAAACAAATTTCTTCAGAATATTTCATACGTTCAATCACTTTCCTAATTGGCTGTAACAAAACAAGAATTGCATTACAGATCCTACACTTCTTAAAATGATTGGGATTTTAAACCCTGTGCATCATTTGTGCGTCGCATATCAACAGAGGTAATTGATTAACTTGCTGTCATGCCCAAAAATGGTTCAGAAAATAACAGATTACCAGTAAGTCCATCATATACCGGCAGTTTGAGTAGGCTAAACACCCTGCAGTCTTTTCTAAAATGCTAAAATGAACTGAATATAATTTTCCAGGGGAGAACTTTATGAGCCCGGAATGTTCTTCTTCAGTACCATTAGAAGGTATTCTTTTGTGTCTTCGTCTGCTGTAAGTACATTTGTGATGCGTTCCTGAAGAATGCTGGCCATTTTTGCCAGATGCCATCAGCTAATGAGTCCTAGCTCCTCTCTCAGATGAAGAAAACTCGTGATCTTCAAAGTTACTGGGCATTCAATTCTCCCCCTATAAGTGTCATTGTCTGCCGCAGTTGAAGTGTGTCATCATCCAAAGTAGTTGCTCCAATGGAAAGGTTCATTTTTCCCATTTACCAGGTAAAGGCATTTTTCCGGGACTATCCCGGACTAAAATATGAAAATTCCATGACATTTAATGCCATGTTGCAGAAAAAACTTTGTTTGGTGTTATGAAATACATCTACTACTGTGGGCTGTTAATTTATCATTTTTCCAACATCACATAAAAACGGGCCTAATAAAAAAAAAATTTGCACGATTTTGTTTTCAATAACATATTTCTCGTAAGGACAGGATTCCAGCGCACCCCATTTTCCCCCTAATATGCCATGACTTTTCCATGACCTTGAGGATTTTCTATGACCTTAGGGTCCCTGCAGGTAAGTAAAATAAAAAGTTTTAGAGGGCCTGGCATTTTGATCTGAGCAGAATCTTTCTCAAAACAACAATTTCACGTATCAGATAAGTTGTGAGATTCAGACAGGATACCACATAAACCGTTCAATCCACATCAAGAAAGAGATTCATAAATAAAAAGAAATGGGGATTTCTTACAATGCAGAAGTCTAGGATTGAAGGGCAAAACTAGCTGGAAAAAATGCTGACCAGACAACTGAGTGTGGTACCTGCTTTTTTCAACTGTACAATCTGTCAGCAGGTGAAAAGCCATTTTGTGGAAGTTTTCATAAATAACTGCGCAAGTGATCTTTACAATCCCCAAAGAACACAAGTATATATTACGCATGCCGATGTTTGGCTTTGTGGATGAGATTCTATTTTTCCCTTCCTTCCATGGACAGTCAAAATTCAAAGCCCCAGATTTAATTCTTGCTGCTATGAAGTGAGGGTAGAATAGTGCATGTGGGGTGGGGGAGGGTGTGATACCTTGTAGCCAGAAGATTTGATATGCACCCCTCGCTTGGTCAAGGTGGACTTCATTCGGATGACAAAACTACGCATGTAGCTGGATTCTGATGATGTCATGCTCAACCCCAGGGCTGTGGAGATCAATTCAAAGGAAAAAATAAATAAATATTAGGTGACAGCAGCTCCTGTTTTAGGTTTATTCCAAGTGACAGGTTCTGACAAAAACCATCAATGACTGATCAACCTGGTTTAAATACTGAATATAATGTACATCCGCCTATTGGGAGAAGACATAGGCACAGCATAAGAAGTAGAAAGTCTAAAACTCAGAATTGTAGAAGAGGTTTACAACATACATGTAGGATACCCCCGAGCGTTTTCTGCAAGAATACCACATTGAAACCTCCTCGGTCGGCTTCCGGTTTCATTCTTCATCACATGTCTGCCAATGTCTTGTCATTTCTATGCAAGTGACTCATTGACTTTGTTGCGCAATTAAATATCCTCCACAGGGCTGAGGCGCATAACGCCGTTGCCCCTAAAGTTAGCAGATGCGCAAATGAATAAAACACCAAGTCAGGAGACGGGCTGTGGAGGACCCGTGTCCAGCATCGAGGCCGTGCTGTAGTCGGAGATTTGGCTCTTGGGACCAATGAGTCGTTATCTTGGTACAATATTCACATTAATATGGACGGCAAATTTTGAGGCGTTCTCCGAGGACAACACTGGCCACGCTTGACTGGCTAATCCATATAGATCATCTCATTGTATGGTTAATGCCTCCACCACTGTGCTGAAACAAAGTGTACACTAGTGCCCTCTATTTTCGGAGTTGTCTTACATCGTTCAGTGTCTAAAATATTGACGCAGTAAAGACATCTCAGAAGTTGTCAGAGAAATTTCAGAGAGATCCTGTAATTGTGCAGTCAAAACATCTAATTCTAACCCAACAAGCACAAATACTTTTGTTATCCAAACTGCATTTACGGATTTAAGATTACAGATTTTCTTGTGTAAATGACTAACATGCATAAAATCAAAAGACAAGTTCAAGACTAGATGAAGGAAGCTAGATATAAAGTGTTTGATTTGGCATGAGAACAGAGGTGCATTGCTACATAGACCACTAAAATGTCACGAGAAATGGTGAAAACCTGAATGTCATCTGTCTCTTCAAAGCCTACATGCCAAGAAAAAACCTGAGGGGGGGGGAATCTGCAACATTCTGTGCTTTGTCTAGGCAATGAATGTGATCATCTGTAATTTAATTGACGCGAGATTTAAACTCAGTACTAATGTGACTTTCAGCCCTCCTGTACACCCCCTGGTGATTTCCAAGCAATGCAATCACACACACGCTGCTAACAAGATCTGTTTGTTACACCACGCGTACTCCACAAGACCGGCGCCAGGCCAGGAGAGGGGGGGTTCACCGTGGTTTGGAGTTCTGTCTGTCTTTCATCCTTTTCAAATTGGTCTCTCCTCCTCTGTGTCCCTGGTCCAATTTGCATAGTGATGCCTCATTAGCATTTGTCCTTAAGTCCCCCCCCCTCCGTCGAATCTAATTCTGCTCGCATCATTCGAGCCGAGCACCAGGGGCCCCTCTGCCTACTCCTTTTGCATCCCAATCAGGTGGGAGCATATGTTGGCGAGTCATCGCGCGGACGAGCCCTCATCAAACTTTCAGGATCTCACACCCAGTCCCTTTCAAATTTAATCAGTTGTGCGTGAGTGGTTTCAGACCAGATTGACATTTTCAATGTTGCTTAATGTTGCGGGGAAGGGACAAGTTAAGACAAGAGAGCGTTGTATGGAGAAATGGGGGGGGGGTGCATCTAGCGGAGTGCAGAACGCGGACAGAGAGGAGAAAAAAAAGAGAGAACTGCAGGCAATTTCTTCATCTCATCTTCCTCCTCCCGAGACCCCGAGGCAAATTTGCCAGCAAGCTGTTGCCTGGTTCCAGTTACAATGTGCGAAGTCTGGGGGAAATGCGATAGGCACGTAGGCTTGGGTTCGCGCCGTGGTGTGCAATGGCCGTAGGGAGTCCACAGTCAGTAAAGCTCTATGTTGGATGAGAGCCCCCCAAATCCATACCTTTGTTTGAGTAGAATGGTATTGTTTACTGAGCGGTCATGGATAGGCCCCCAATGTGACACATTTTAAGCCTAGCTACAGGCAAGTCTCAGCACAATCAACATCTCATTCTGCTTTCAGGTGTTCTTTTCCTCTTCTCTGTTCCCATTTTTTTTCTTTCAATGAGTGTATTAAATATGAACCACTAGAACTTTTATGCCCAGCATATGCTGGGGGTTTGATGGAAGTTTATTCTCATCATCTAGTCCCTGAATTTTAAAACAACCCAGACTAAAAATGGGGAATTCATAATAGGACAAAAACTTTTGGCAATCTGGCCCTTCTGTTCATCTGATTTCAACCTTTCTCCATCCCATAATAATCTATCCATCCACCCACCCCACCACTCCTGGAATCTCCCTTCCCCTATTTGACCTACCATTTTTATAATTTCTTGTTAATTCAACAATCGCTTCACTTCTATTTCCTAAATTATCATCACAATGCATCCCTGACATTCAAAGTGATCACAGTAACAAGAAAATAAGTTAACAACTGAAATATGGACAATTCAGAATCCAACACCACTTAGACTTAAGTTTTGTCCTAATTTCAAGTATTCCCAATAACCAGGAAGCTCTACACAGTAAGAGGTTTTACCAAACACAAACGAAAGCCATTATCTGCTTTTTCAGTAGTTACATCTGATTTTCTCTGCCCAAATTGACCTTTTTCAAAACCCCCCTCTTAACTGCGAGTAAAGCCAGAATATTTTAAACACATCAGCACTGTCTTTTGCTGCTTCAATAGCACACTTTTTCTGACTCTGTCCACAGTTTTTCAAAAGAATGTAATTTGCAATTCCTCATTAAAATTTATCTACATCATGATTTTAAAAATGTATCTACTGACCTAATTTTCCAATCACTAATTTCATTCTTCTATTCCACCTTCCAGACAACTTGGTATCTTGTTCTACCTCTTCCTTGTTTATCATCTTTCAAACTTTGTCCCTGAATTGTGCTGGACCTGCATCATCCCTTCTGACCCACGTCCATCCAAAGGTTACTCCTTGCTTCCTTTCTCAGATATTCTCCAACCCGCGTGTCCCCTCTTCTTCCCATCTTCAATCAAGGATCTTTTCCCTCCCCCCCTTCTTTGTTGCTGGTTCTTCTCTACTCATGCCTCGCCTCTGGATCTCATACTTGGTCCCCCGCATCCTCACGAAATGAGGTTAGTGTATGCATCTCATCTCATTCCAAGGCATCCCCGGCATAGACAACAGAGAGATGCTGCTTTCCCCACAGGACCGACAAAGAGCTAATCACATCTGACCATGACCCAGTAGGCACACTACCCCCACTGTAACGCGCGCTGACTCAATCTAAATTCATGAAGTTTTGACGGCTTCACTTTCGGTGAGGATGGGGCAAATAGCCAGCATCCCCCAATGTCGATCCCTCTCCCCCTTTGCCAAGGAGGACAAGCCCCACCCCCTTCCACTCCTCCATATGGGGAAGGGACTGGTCATGTCAACATCTCACAGCCCGGTGTTAGAAGTGGTTTGACGACGACAGAGGTATCTGACACCAGGGCAGTGTGATGAAACAAGTGTTTCTACTGCTGCTGGGTTTCCAATCAACCTGACGGCTCAAGTATCCACTGACACGCTGACACATCAGTGTCGGACCCACTCAAGAATCGCCACTCAAAGACGATACTACGTGGCACTGCTACCAAACTGGGCACATCCAGCCCGGCACCACAACAATTGGTATTGGCATCAGGTAGGCAGCAAGACACTTGTAGCCCCGCTATCACCGGTACCCCGCTCTCCAGGGAGGAAGGAGCCTTGCTATTGTACAGCTTCAATTAAACGATGGAAAACACTCAGGAGGACGGTCCTGATGAAAGTTGCTGCTATCATCAACACTCAGAAACTCTCTTTTAACACTTTACACTTACTGGACAAAAACATATCAAACAGAAATTACCCTCTTTGATATTTGTCTAAGCCACCTCCACCAAACACTTCCCTCTACATTACTTGGACGTGCTTAGAGTTAGAAACATTGCCTACAGAGGAATGAAAGTTTGAATGGTTTGTTTTGGTGACTTTTGTTTCTTCCGTTTATTATTCAAAACAAAGTAAAAAAGAGCAACAAGATAGATATAACGGTCGGAGTGTACTGTATTTTGGAGGACAGGTACATGTACATGGTATGATAGGCCGAATATCATGACATACAGTTTTAAGCAATATAACGAGTATACCGGAAACTATGCCCCAAAATGCTGGTTTCTGGCAATTTATAGAGTAAACGTAACATGGGCTCTGCCAGTGACTTCAGTGATTTCATTTCTTTTGGGGTAGTCCTGAAAATTTCTTATGCTGTTTGCTTTGGTGACTGTCTACAAAACTGATGCCAAGAGGACGTAGCGTTTTGGGCCACTTGAAGGGATTCAAGAAAGATTCTCAACATTAAGCAGAATTCTGCTAGTAAGGCTAGATTTATTCATTGAGAGAAAACTGAATGTGAAAAGAGACATTTGGGAACACAGCAAAGATTCTGCCAACTAAAATGTACCCCTTCCAAACCAAATGCATTTTCAGCTCGAGCTTTGCCCTAAATTTCTGACAATTTCCTTCCTAACAAAATTTAATTCCAGCCACTCCCAACAGCTTTCCTCATCAAAATCTTGGTTCAAGTCGTGATTAAACAAAAATTCAAAGTGATGACCTGATTAAATGTGAAATCCATGCAAAACACAAGGGAAGTTTTTTTTTACTGACTTACTCTCATTGTTTGGAGAGGTTGGAGAGTCCATAGGCGATGACTGGCATCCATCGCTACTCCCAGTACCCACCGACGTTTGCGACACGGTCCGGGAGGGAGGCAGCTTCATCCCGAGTTGCTCGGCCAACTCGTTGCGGTCGCTGGCATGGATGTAGTCAAAGACACTGCTGCCTGTCAGCTCCACCTGAAGAGGAGAGGTAAAGATTGAACAAGGCCACAATGCATCACTTCATGCTGTGTGTGAGATTTCTGTAACAGATCTGTTTGAACAGCTCAGCAATACCGTCGGGGTGAATTCTGCCAACTCAACACTAATGTACAATAACATTTTTGATGCTTCAAAAACCTTTGTGAAGGTCATCATTGCTTTCATAAAAGCTTGCTTTTTACAAGTTCATAATGGTCGCAGAGCAGTTACCCGTGGCAATACTGAGAGTGTTTGGGATATGCTATCGCAACCTGGCAGTAGCTCGAAACATTATTATGTGGTTAGCAAACAAAACTTCACTGCATTAAAAATGGCAATGAAAATATCCTGTATATCCCTCATGATAAGTTGGGAAATGCAGAGTAAACTGCCCCATTCAGGATGTGCATGCTGCTACTTACACTACCTGATATTAGACGGTATTACAGTTAAACGTTTACCGTACACTATCATTTCTTGCCTAAGTTGCCAACTTTAAGCACAACAAAACTTTCACGAATGACTTGATATGCTATGCAACTTACAGAACCCAAGTTCAAATCCAGTTCCATTTTGGAACCAAAAAAATATACATTAGAACTCAACATGAAACCTACTGGTACCGTACGCACAAGCCAAGGCTTAGATAAAGTGGTTTGTTGGTCTAGTTTGTTTGACTGTTTTTTATGTTCAGACATTATGGACACCAAGTTCTTTTGGGCCTTGAGGAGAGATCTAGTCTTGCCTGAAACTCATTACTGCAGCAGTCAAGCACTTCATCGGAAATTATATCATGATGAAAAATGAACTCAGAGATTTGAGATACAGACAGTACTATGTAGAACACATGAACTACCAGTACATGTACACGTTACTACAGCCTATGTTCACTTAGAAAAACAGTGGAATGGACAGATAGCTGTATCCAGAACATGCATGTTTTTTCTGAAGAAAATTACAGCTTAATCAAACACAAAAGACTGTTCACGAAACTGACTGACAACCAAGTACATGGGCTTGATGATCGAATGTCCTCTATTTATGCTATCAACTCACCCGAATTTCTGTCTGTTTGCTCTGAACATAGTCCTTGATAATTGCAACCTGTTACAAATGTACCGTATTTAACACCGCAAGCATCAGTGCCTTACACCTCCCATTCTGGCTGATCATTTAGAAAGTTGTTTTCTATGCACGCCGCCTTACCCAGACAAGGATCTGCTCCTGATCAAACCACTTCTGTGGCGATTAAAACCAGCGAATGGAAAGCTCTCTGAAGCAGGGCTGCTTCCTATGCTCGAGGGGGCTGGCTCCAGCCAAGATCGCAAATATACAGACGGATTAGGGGCGGGAATTGTTCCCTCCATTTGTGGGTAATTTGGAGGCAGAGATCAGTGTCAACAAGGCTGAGCCTGGGAGATGTTAGAAATAAACTCGATACGCTGTGGACCCCAGGTCAACAGGCCCTAAGTAGGCAATTGAAGGGGGACGGCATTAGGCCGATGGGCATATCCAGTCAATTTGGTGTTAATGGAAGCATTTGTGGGAGTCTAACACATCCTACGTGCTTTTTTTCCCGTCAGCACCGTGACTTTTGTTGATTCAATTTCATGAAAAAGAAACCTGTGTCTAAGCTCTGTCAGATATTTTCCATGAAATTCTTCTTAGTTTCTGGCTTTACTGAAAGCACACACATACACACAAGATAAACAAAAGCCACTTTTTAAGAAAGTCTTTTGATGAAAAAGGAATACGACCCTCTCAGTCTTCAATCATCTCATTTTAAAATGATTTTATATACACCAAGGACGAGTATGTAAAGGTTAAAGATGACTTTTGTAGCAGCAAAAAGAATGCCTATCTGTTGCTGTGCACAGTATACAGAATGGATTGTGGTTGAGTAAAGTCAAATTTGGTTCATTCTGTTGAAAATTTGTCAAAGAAAGTGGAGCTCTTCATTTAAGTTGGAAAATAACACCCACTCCCTTCTACCATCATTGTTTACTTGGAATGATGTTTTAATGAAAAGAGTAAAACTAAATGCCTTGAAATTCTTTAATCCTTTCAATCACGCCTTCCAAGGGCAGATTTAGAAACTGTGAGATTGACAGTAATACACCATCTCTCCCCAGTTGACTCTGTCACTTTGTGTAATCATACCACGATCATGTGGTTCGAATCGTGAGCCGACAGCCAGAAGTCACCCAGGCAGCCTTGTCCCAACACCGTTGCCAGCCACCGCTGCTGCGGCTGCAGCCAACGGACGTGTAAAACAGAAGGGGGGGGGGAGAAGCTGCCTGCCTGCGCCAAACTGTAGACGGCCCAGGTGGCGCGGGGCCGAGGCTAATCAGCGATTGTAGCAGCTTCACAGCTGTATGTATGAAAGACCCAGGCTATTTTGACACCCTTCGAGCCCCCTCTTGGTTTGCCGGGGTCTCTGCTGGGAATAACCTCCCCCCCCCCTCACGCGCGCAGACACATCACGGTGTAATTGGGCATGATAATCGCGTCACTACGGCTGACCGATCCATGCTGTCTGACTTGGCTTGATACAGCCGAGTAGTTAGTCAAAACAGTCAGCCTGGTCTTTGTTCACATACCACAAGACGGCACCTTTGTCTATGGCTTTTTGTACAAAAATATTAATTGCCTGTTAATCATTTCCTTCATGAGTGATTCATAGATTGATACAGAAAGATACGCTAATGCTGAAGCTGAACAAGTTCAAAAGGGAAGATGAACAAGAAACGAGTATCTCCTGTTTATGCATACATGAAAACAAAAATTGTACAGAAACTGCAAAGTAACTTGCTCTTCTGCACTGTGACTTCTTGCAACATTGACAATTGCCAAAATTGACCACAAAAACGC